TGGTGGCACACGCCTTTAATCCCAGCACTCTAGAGGCAGAGAGAGGTGGATCTCTGAGTTCAAGGCCAGCCTGGTCTACATAGTGAGGCCCAGGACAACTGGGGCTACAGGGAAACCGTGTCTAAAAATGACAGGAAAAAAAAAAAAAAGCAGATGATAAAACCTAGAAATACCATCTTTCATTAATTAATACAATGACGGTTTTTCAAGAAATAGAGTTCTCCTATGGTTACACTGCTCAGATAGGGAGCAGATGTCTGCCTAGTCCAAAGGGAATTTCTCTTCCTCAGGAGAAAACAGCTTAAATAGGAAGCAAATAACCATATGCTGACTGTTCACTGCTTCGCAGATGACATAGAGAGAGCGCCATGTTCTACTATGGGAACCATGAGGGTCAAGGTTCAAATTAATTTTCCTTAAAAGTCAATGTAATTATCCAAGATCAAATTACTTGTAAAATATAATTTGTATCAAAGAATTATGCTATCAATTTGTGCCAGGTATAAAATAAATTTAATAGGTGCTAATGCTGAATATAGAAAAATAGATTAATAAAATAGTCTCCTAAGCATTTCTTAAACTCTCGAACAGAGCTCACAGCAAGCAAGAAAATATGACTGGTGAGACCTTTTAAAAAAGCTGATTTTGAAACTGACTTAGACAGATAGTGAGTATTCATAAATCATAAAACAACAACATCTTCTAAATTACATAATGTGATTTAGATATATCACCAAGATATGTTATTCTTACCCTGAAAAGAAAAATCATTGAAAAATAATCTAAGAAAACACACCTACTACTAAAAATTCTTTTTCTATGCAAAGTCAAACATCTGAAACTTCATGATATAATTTTTAGAAATAGAATTAGTAGGCATTTCTTGTCATTCCAAATATTAGATTGTGCAATTATGTAAAATTAGCATAACTGCATTAAGTCTGAGTTTTTTAACAAAGAAGACGATCTTCATGGCAAGAGTCGGCCAAGATGTATTGCCTACCCTGTGTATCATTGTGCAGTAATGAAAACCAAATAAAACAATTCTAAAGATAACCAATAAATACAGTCCGTTAGTCATTTACAACAAAAACTATTAGGATGCAATTGACAAAGATATTATCATTGCAGAAATAAAGGTTTAAGTTTAAGAGACTGACAATTATGAAGAACCAAGAAATCCAGTTGTTGTTACAGCTGTGAAACTTGGTGGAAACACAAGTAGAACACAGATAAATGTTTTTAAAAGCATTACCAATAACTGCACTGAGAACCTGCACTGCCTCAGGTCACTTTGGTTAATGCTATTCCTGGGAGCTATAGCATCACTGTGAAATTAGATGCAATCTCTGTCTTCCTGTGTCTGAGCCTTGGGGAGTGAAAGAATAGTTCTGATTTTACTTATGGCTTGGAAACTAAAGAAACATGCAGAAAATCACAAAGTAATAATATTCTCCTGGAAAAATTAAATCCAAACTGTAACAGTAGTTACAAGTTTAAGTTGTAGCTAATATGATCACCTCTCCCCTCACCTCCAAGTGGGTTGATCATGTGACATATAAAAGGCTGATTTTTGTTTTTGGACTTAAACATACTAAAAATGGGGCAAGAGCAATACTAATTGCTGAAAAGAAGTAACTGAAATACTGGGAATTAAATTACTATGTATTTCTTTCCAGTGTGTTAACACTGGAGAGTTTACCAAACAATAATTTCCAAACTTTGTAAGCACACAAAATCCTTTCTCATTGCAGAGTGCTGAAACCATACATAATAGCCAACAAACCTGTTTCTTCTCATAATGGCAATTAAAATAGTAAAAAATTAATTTAAACAAACACTGTTCAAACTTCCTCAGGGTTCTAAAAATTATTATTATCACCAATGAAGATACTTATCATCAAACTGTCAAAACCAAACTAAATTTGATTATAATAAATGATCTACACATTCCTCCCGTTACGAGTGTAGTAATTGCTCTAAGTATTATCTTAAAATAATTTAAAAATCATTATATTAAA